GCTCAGAACCGAATCCTGACTTCAGCATCGAAGTGCCTTTTGCAGGTACCCTCCCACGTCAGCAACGGTTAGAGAAACATCAACACGTTAGAGCAGAGACTTGAAGACCCGTGTTACCTTAACAGGAACATTTTGGCGCCCACCGTGGGGCTCGATTAGCCTCTTATTTCAGATTAATCATGGTACTTATTAGAAGCCAGCAGGAAGGAACCTCTCGGCAACAGATGGAAGGTGTCACACCAGATGAACCGATACCTGAAGTGGTGATGCAAAGAGGAATAGATGAGAGCATCTTAGCTGTACTGAGGCAGCTTAAAGCAGAAATGACAGAAATGAAGAAAGAGCGAGAGAAGGATGCACTGGAGCTCTCGGCTCTAAGAAGGGAAAATGCTAAGTTAAGAGAAGAGATAAGGACACACATCCCCTCCCAAACTACACCCATCATCCAGGATCAGGGGGAATCCTCGGCGTTGCAAGAAAAGTCAAAGCAGGTTTATCAATCTGTAGCCAAAAATGACCGAGATGATCTCATGTATCGAAGCCCATTTGTTCACCATATTCTGGAGGCTAAGCTGCCCGATAATTGGAGAGGTTTGGCAATAGATAAGTATGATGGTACATCTGATCCTAGAGAACATTTGGATGTCTTTACAACCCAAGTCGGTTTGTACACAGAGAACGATGCTTTATGGTGTAGAATTTTTCCCACCTCACTTCGAGGACCTGCAGTCAGTTGGTTCACCTGACTCCCCCCTTCGTCCATCGACTCTTTTGCAACTCTCACAAGACGTTTCAACTTGCAGTTTGCAACAAGCCGACCTCATCCCTTAGCATCCCTGGCCCTAGTCAATATTCGCCAAGAAAAGGGAGAACCACTTAAAGCGTTCATGGAATACTTTGGCAAAGTGACCCTTTCAATCCATAACTTAGAACCAGTAGTGGCTATGCACCACCTCACAACGGCCTTAAAGCCAGGACCTACAAAAAACCCCCATGTTGACCTAGACGAGTGATGAGTCCACATTTTACTACATTTTTATACATCATTTATTACTTCTTATAGAAAAGAATAGACTTAGATAGTGTAAATAAGATGAATATTCCAATTAGGCTAAATAATATAGCTTTCTTAGTTTTTTGTTAATTTACATGAATTTAGATAGTTTATTTTACATATTTTGATCATTTGAATAATATGGCAGGAATCCCCAAGCTTATTTTGAAGAATTATTGGATTTTGAGGAATTTGAGTTGAAAGTAACTACTTTCAATATTGATAGTGACAACTACAGCAAGCCACTTCCAGCAAAGGGACCAAAGTGATCACTTTCAAAGCTTAAAGTGACAACTACAGTAGCCCAGAATCAACCAAACCTGCGCGTGGTTACTATGAATATTCATAGTAGTCACTCTAGAGCATGCAGAATTGAAGGTGCTGCGCGTAGTTACTATCAAAATTCATAGTGACAACTCCAGAGAGTCCAAAATGTCCCAGTGTTACGCGTGATTACTATGAATATTCATAGTAATCACTCCAGAGAGGCAAAACTCAACTGATGCTGCGCGTGTTTACTATGAAAGAATGAGAGTAACTACTTTGGAGGGCGCCAGCTTTAGTATAAATAGATTTTTACCAAATTAGGGTAGAGAGTTCTTACACTTTTTGAACCTTTTCTCTTCTTTACTCAATTTAGAATATTTTCCAGAGCTTAGGGCAACCTTGGGTGACAGCCAAGGGTCCAGCCTAGGGTTTGGTTTCTCATTTCTCTTGCTTTTACATTAATGTTAATGAGTTTTCTGCATTTCCCAATTGCGTTTTTGACCCCCATTTCCATGGAGGGCTAAGTTTGTGTAATCCTTAGTGAATTCACATGGGTTCTTGAGTTCCTTGAATTTAATGATAATATAATTCCTTTCTTTCATGAATTACTTCTTCCTTGTCTCTTGAATTGAATTAATGGTGAATGAGGGGGGTATTGCTCAATTAACCCTAATTTCGTTTTAAGGAGATTCTAAACTAAGGGTTGCTTAATCCTAGGTTTAATTCTAAGGTTGCGTAATTTTGGGATAAGAGATTAGAGCCTAACAAATTGCGTAATTTCGTTGGGACCATAAGGTTGATTTTCGCTTGTTAAATTAACCTAATTCATGGAAGAGAGGATGAATGTTAAATCTTGAGTGGAATTAGGATAGAATCTATGTGGATGAACTAAGGATTGCTGTTTTCTATTGTTTGAATTAATTAAACTCATTTGCTCATTGCTCTTATTTTAATTTGAAACCACAAACCTCCCCCCCATTTTAATTGCTTGTTTAATTAATGCCTTCAACATGTTTAATGAAGATTAATAACCAATGTTCATGGAGACAATCTAGGGTTACCCTAGTACTACATTAATTTGTTTAAATTTTGATGAGGATTTACGACAAATCTTTTAAACACCTCGAAATAGATCATCATCAACGAGTTACGGAGTCGAGCTGCAAGTATATGCAGATGGAAGAATTATCCAAATACCGAAACCAGGTATGGATGGACCAAGGGTCCAATTCAAAAAATACAGACAGGAGAGAAGCTTTCAAGGCTAGGCAGGGAAATGAGAGAAAAAATGAACTTGAAAGGCCACACCGGGGACCTAAATATCCTTCCTACATTACGCTCAACACTAATCGGTCCAGAGTACTTGACCAGGCACTGGCTACAAAAATATTGAGAATGCCTAGACGCGCCAACACCCCTCCTCAGGCAGATAAAAGCAAGGCTTGCCGCTATCATCAGAACAGAGGTCACACCACCGAGGAGTGCACAGCACTGAAAGATAAAATTGAAGAATTAATCAAAGAAGGACATTTAAAAGATTTTGTACAGACAAATCCCATGGGTCAACCTAACAAAGGAAGAGACCGTTACCATGAACCACCGAGGAGATCTGATGACAAAATATTTGAACGACATAGGAGTAGGTCCAGGGAACCCCCAACTAGAAGATATGATGAACGAGAGAAGTATCACAAAAGGGTCATTAACACCATAGCTGGAGGGTTTGCCGGTAGAGGACCTACCCATTCTGCTAGAAAGAGGCATCTCAAGCATGTCCGTTCTGTTAATAATGTTTCATTGGGTAGCAAAATCTGGATCCCGCCTATTACGTTCACTGATGATGACTTTCAAGGAGTCAATCCGGTGCAGGATGATCCCATGGTCATTAGTGTAGACATTCTTAATTGTACTGTTCGGAAAATACTAATTGACCAAGGGAGCTCGACGGACATCCTGTATTGGAATACGTTTAAGCAATTAGGCATCCCTGAAGAAGAGGTCAGAGAATATCATGAACTGTTGGTTAGTTTTTCTGGGGAACGAGTGGAGACTAGGGGCTGTATTGACTTATCTTGTAGTACATGCGAACACCTCCTATAATATATTACTCGACAGACCATCCCTGAATAAATTGAGGGCCATAGTGTCTACTCCGCACTTGGCCATGAAGTTTCCATCTGAAAGGGGCCGAATCGTTACAGTCCATACTAACCAGAAAACAGCTAGAGAATGCTACTTTGCAAGCTTATATCTTAGACCCTTTAATGGGAATAGCCGAGGTGTCAATATTGTATCCCCTCAGTTGGGAGAGGAATTAGATGTTGAACTTGATCCTAGAATGGATGAGGGATATCGGGTTGAACCTAATGAAAACAAGCAACCTTTCCAACTAGGATCAAGGCCAGAACAAGTTACTTATTTGGGGGTTGGTCTGAATGCACAAGAAAAGCAAATTTTTCAGGAAATGTTGCTGAATAATGCCGATTTGTTTGCTTGGTCAGCCTTGGACATGCCTAGCATCGACCCAGCATTTCTTTGTCACCACTTATCAGTTTATAAGGGGGCCAAACTGATAGCTCAGAAGAAGAGGAAAATTGGTGGCGATAGAGCAAAGGCAGTAGAAGAAGAAACCGGCAAGCTACTACAGGCTGGCTTTATCCGAGAAGTCAGGTATTCAACGTGGTTAGCCAACATCGTCATGGTTAAAAAAGCCAATGATAAATGGTGAATGTGCACGGACTTCACGGACCTCAACAAAGCATGCCCAAAGGATGCATACCCCCTACCAAACATTGATACCTTGGTCGATAGTGCAACCGGTCACAGAATATTAAGCTTTTTGGATGCTTATTCTGGATACAATCAAATATAAATGTATCCCCCGGATGAGGAGAAAACAACATTCATCATAAATTCAGCAAATTTTTGTTACCGAGTGATACCGTTTGGTTTGAAGAATGCAGGGGCGACATACCAGGGACTCATGAACAAAATTTTTGAGAAGCAAGTGGGTAAATGCTTAGAGGTGTATGTGGATGACATGGTGGTAAAGTCCACCGTATTGAAGGAACATCTTACTCATTTGGAAGAGGTATTCGAGGAGGCTAGGAAACATCGTATGAGGTTTAACCCCGAGGAGTGCACATTTAGGGTAGCCGGGGGCAAGTTTCTTGGATTTATGTTATCTGAAAGGGGAATCTAGGCTAATCCTGACAAATGCCAAGCCATAATCGAAATGGTTAGCCCTCGGAATGTCAAGGAAGTTCAGAAACTTGCCAGTCAGATTGCAGCCCTCGCTCGATTTCTATCAATAATGGCAGAAAGGTCTCGGCCTTTCATTGAACTGCTCAAAAAATCTCAAAAATTTGCTTGGTCCAACGAGTGTGAGGCCGCCTTCGTTCAATTCAAGCATATGCTATCAACGCCGCCCGTGCTGACAAAACTGAATCCTGAACAAGAGATGATTGTTTATTTGGCCGTATCTGATAATGCCATCAGCTCGGTTCTACTGCAAGAAACACCTGAACCGACCCCCGTGTATTTTGTTAGTCGAACACTCCAAGGCCCTGAATCTCGCTACTAGTTGATAGAGAAGCTAGTACTGGCTTTACTTCATACAGCTCGTCGGTTAAGACGCTATTTTCAAAGTCATTGGGTAATCGTACGTACAGATTGTCCAATGGCCAAAATTTTGAGGAAACTAGAGTTGGCTGGTCGGCTAGTAGCATGGACAATTGAACTATCTCAATTTGACATTCATTTTGAAAACCGACGCCCCCTTAAAGCTCAGGTGTTAGCCAACTTCGTCAATGAATTCACTGTACAACGACACACTACTTTGGACATGTGGAATCTGCACGTTGACGGATCATCAAACCGACTAGGTAGTAGAGCTGGGGTCATAATTGAAGGGCCGAATGTATTCACCATTGAACAATCCATTCAGTTTGGATTCAAGGCATCCAACAATCAAGCTGAATGCAAGGCTTTACTTGTCGGTCTCAGATTAGCAAAGGAGATGGGAATTAAACGCATTACTGGTTGGAGTGATTCAAAAGTTGTGGGCGAACAGATTAATGATACATATCAGGTTAGGGACCCAGTTATGCTTAAATGTTACCAAGAATTCAAGAAAATAAAAGATGAATTTGATGAGGTATGTGTTTGGCACACGCCAAGAAACATGAACGAACGAGCCAACAGGCTTGCTAGGCTGGCTAGCCAAAGGAAACCGGGGCAGTTGCAAAGCGTGGTTCATCAAGAAATCCTCCAACCCAGTATCGTGAAACAAGAATGCATGGACATAGAAAATTCATCTCATAATCGGATGACCCCACTCATCCGGTACCTCATCGATGGCAGCTTACCAAAGGATCTAGCTTCAGCTAAGAAAATAAAAATGCATGCAGCTAAGTACCTTCTTCTGGGCAAGGACTTGTACAGAAGAGGAATTTCAACCCCTATGCTTAAATGCCTAGACGACGACCAAGCTAACTACGTCATGAGGGAAATCCATGAAGGTATTTGTGGTACCCATTCAGGCGAACGAACTATGGCAACAAAAAACTCAGAGCCGGATACTATTGGCTGACACTTACTCAAGATTGCCATGTGTTTGTGAAGAAATGCATTCCCTGTCAGCAACACGGTACTCACCTACACCAACATGCCGATACCCTTCGCCCTATTAGCTCTCCTTGGCCTTTTGCCATTAGGGGAATGGACCTCCTCGGTCCTTTCCCTTTAGCAAAAGAGCAATGCAAATTTCTCCTTGTCGCTATGGATTACTTCACCAAATGGATCGAAGCCGAACCCCTTACCACCATCACGGCCAACAACGTACAGAAATTCACTTGGAAAAACATCATTACACATTTTGGCCTCCCTCATGCACTAATTACAGACAATGGGCTTCAATTTACAGATCGGCGATTCAATGAGTTTTTGGAAGGCCTGCATATCAAGCACAGAGTTACGTCTGTTAAACACCCTCAGACTAATGGCCAGGCTAAGGCTGCAAACAAGGTGATCTTAAATGAATTAAAAAGGAGATTGGGTTTGGCAAAGGGAGAATGGGCAGAGAAGCTGTCCGAGATATTATAGGCTTATCGGTGCACGCCGCAAACCACAACAAAGGAGACTCCTTTTCGGCTTACATATGGTACTGACGCCATGGTACTGGTAGAAATTAGAGAGCCTTCATTTCGAAGGGAGAATTTCGAGGAATCAGCTAATAACGAGACTCTGGTCGTCAACGTGGATTTGATAGATGAGGTGCGTGGCCAGACAACCATCATGACCGAGGCAAGCAGAAGAATGATGGCAAGGAAATTTAACTCCAAAGTCAATCCGCGGCAATTTTATGAGAATGATTTAGTATGGCGCGTAACTAGGGAGGCACGAAAGGATCGGCGAGAAGGGAAGTTGGTGGCTAACTGGGAAGGCCCCTTTCGGGTAGCAACAAGTTTAGATAATGGAGCGTACAAGTTGGAAACTTTGGAAGGAAAGCTAATATCGAGGACCTGGAATGTTACACACTTGAAGCATTATTACAGTTAAAGCATTGTAATTTGTAAACGGTGTACTCTTTTCCTCCTCCAGGTTTTGTCCTCTTAAAAGAAAGTGAAAAGGGGTTTTCCTGAGAAGGTTTTTAACGAGACACCTTATCAATAAAACACTTCTTTTCACCTATATAGTTTATGCATTAGGATTTCTTTCAAACACTTGAATTAATTAAATTCCCTCCCGACTACCCCTACTCGGTCAAGGATGAATCGTTATTTAAACTCCCTCCCAAGTATCTACTTGGCTAAGGTTGAATTAATTAAATTCCCTCCCGAGTAACCCTACTCGGTCAAGGATGAATCATTATTTAAATTCCCTCCCAAGTATATACTTGGCTAAGGTTGAATTAATTAAATTCACTCCCGAGTACCCCTACTCGGTCAAGGATGAATCATTATTTAAAATCCCTCCTAAGTATCTACTTGGCTAAGGTTATATTAATTAAATTCCCTCCCGAGTACTCCTACTCGGCTAAGGATGAATTCATTATTAAATATATTGTATTTTAGTACGAGTTATATGACCGATTTTTCAATGCAAAGTACAAGAGAAGGAGAAAAAAGAGATTCCATTTCAAAATTAATGGCTACAAAATTTGGGCACTAATGGCCCATGAGTACAAAGAAAACAAATCTAATTTTCTTCCCCTCCCTCGGCATTAGGACTGGCTACCTCAGGATTAGCAGCATTTTCACTATCGGCGATTCGTCTTGGGGCTTCGGCTTTAGGCTCCACATCTTCATCAATCTCATTGTAAGGAATAAACCTGCCACCAAAGAAGTCCTTCGTGATGTCAAAATAGAAATCGAGCAAAACCTGGCAGAATCCATGGCATTGACGAATAGCATGGTTAAAACCAGATTCATGTTCATAAGCGACTTGTTGAGAACACTTCTCGGCAAAGGTTTTCATCTCAGTTTCAGCCCTTTGCTTTTCAAATGCCAAGGCTTCCTCCATCTCGGTCGATTTGGCCTGTAGGGCCTCCTCCATTTGACAAGACTTCACCCTTAATGACTCCATTTCCTCCTCCTTGATCCTCAAAGTCTCCGCGTTTAACTGTGTAGCTACTCTGAACACGTGAAGTGGCTATGCGCTTAACTATGCATAAGTGAATTAGCCTTAGGCGTAGCTACTCTGAACACTTGAAGTAGCTACTCTCTTGGTCTTCATGGATTTTCTTCTTCAAAGTGTTAACTTTGTGTACTCAGAGTTGTTATGCCTTACACATAACACTTGATTCTTCATCTTTAAAGCTCAATTCCTCTACTTTCTTCACTTCAATCTTCAACTCAAATTCTCAGCTTAAGCTTCTACACAAGGATTAAGTCATTTTAAGTCAAATTGTTCAGAATTGGACCGAAAATGTAAGATTCTAAATTATTTATACAATTATGAATATTAATGTAATTTTTATGATATTTTCAAGTTTATTTACTATTTAACTCTTTATTTACTAACAAAAACTAGGCTAAAAATATAGTAAAATATGGATTTATCAAACTATAGAGACGAGGAAGAGATAAGAAAGATACACAATACACGAGAGTATATTTGTGAATTTTGATATTAAGAATTCAAATTCCTAGGATTCAGGTTAAGAATTAAAGTTGGCCAAATTTAATTATAATAGAATTTCATAGAATTGATCCATGAAATTATTATCTCAATTTCAAATGGACATCCAAACATGATAATTAGAATTTTGAAGCTCAATTCCAATTCTAACGTCCAATTCCATACTCAATTCCATATTCTAAATAGACACAAAATATTCTAAACAGACACAAAATAATCTGTGTTTGAATTTTAGATTCTTTTAATGAATTATTTATTAATGTGATTTTAGAAAAAAATTAATTAAGATACGTGGATGGCATTTGAATGAGAAATATAAAAGGAAAAAAGAAGAACAATTATAAAGAAATAACAATAAATAAAGAAATATAAAAAACAATCTTAATAAAAAAAATTACAATAAACAAAAAGTGTAACTTAAAATGAGTCTATATTTATAAAAAAAATAAAAAATACTGAAGTAACTTTCTATGTACACATATCTAAACCTTATCGTTTCTTTTACATGAATTTTTCATGTTTTAAATTATAAATACTAATAAACGGCTTCCAACATATGTCAAACTTAACATTTTTACACTTCTTTTATCATCTTTGAAACTTTTAGATTTAAATACTCCACTTTTAAAAATAGCTTAATTCATTACAATTTTATGTCTAATTAAATTCAAATAATTTAGTTCAATCTAATTAATTACAATGTCCGTTATACTCTAGAAACTTAGGCTTTACAAAATTTTAACATTTTTTTTATTTACAAATTGGAATTGTTTACGCTTTTTCTTGATCCAATTCGCTAATATTCACTGTCCATAATTGGTCAGCGAGTTGACTGACTCAATCTCACTGCATTTAACTACGGTTTCATTTTTTAAAGTCATTGTCCCATCTTTGCCAAGTTACAATTACCTCTCAAATTAAATTTCACCTTCGTGTATGACTTTAAATTTTATTGCATAGGCCATTAACTAATTTTAGTTTTATAATAAGGTGTTTCTACAATAACTTCTTATGTTCCTTCTTTTGCTCTACTTTCATTACATCATTTCTCTATTTTTTTTATACTTGTTTTACTTTTATCAAATGGTTCCATTTTCGTCCATTTTCATTTTCGTTATATTGTACAAATGAATTTAAATGGCTTCCTTAAGAAAGGGTCCTTTTCAATCCCACAGCAATGAACATGTATGTTCTAGAACATCATTAAAACCTGCAATCTTCACTAAATGCGGGCATACCTATATCTAGCCAATCATTCTTTTTTCTCTGACAGATGGTCAGAACTTCATCTGGGTTTGAATCCTACTGAGAGGTCCACTAGAGATTAGAAATTATTGATGAAAGAACATGATATTTCTTTTGTTCTTTCCAGGCGATGGGAAAATAAAGAAATAGTTAATATATTCAAGATAATTATGTACTTACAAAATATTCCTTTCGTGAAGTTTAGATGAAATGCACATAGCATTGCGTTGTGAGAATAAGAGTGGAATAATAATGGGTAGAGTATGGATAGAGTATTATAGTACCCATTTTCATACTTGTATTTTTTAAAAACATTTGTATTTAGTCTTATACCAACGTGGGTAGTAATTTAGTCTTATATCCTTTGTAAGTATCTTAGAGCTTGACTTCTCGTTTTCATCTCTATTTTTTGTATTTCATCTTTTCTCAAAGAGTATTCCTCTTTATAAGGTGTAGCACAATTTTATCTTTTGGACCACCCCTTTTCACTCCTTCACTAAACTTGTCTTCTAAGGTACGGAGAGCTCTATTTCATTACTAAGAACGTGGTATGTTTGTGCTCACGAAAATGTTGTGAGGTAATGCATGATTGTTTTGATGAAAACATATTTTTGTTGTGATTGAGAATGTGTATGACCTTTATTTTGAGCATATATGTATGTGTGTTGTAGACTGAGTCCGGGAGTGACCAATCTTCAGCAATGATAGATTGATGTATGATATAATAATGAACTGGAGAAATATATAGAGATGAAGGGATGAATAATATATTAATAGAAAATAATGAGTTTAGGCTATGGTGACTAATGAAAGGAGTAGAACCAAAATGGAAAGCATAGAAAAAAAATGGGAAATATGAAAGGAGAAATAGAATGAGAAAGGTAAATGGTTAAGACGAGTGTAGATAGTTCAGAGGTACACTAGGAGTGTGGAAGATGGGGGCGATTTGGAAAATCTTAGGAAAATGAAGGTGGTGGATGCTTTCTTCAATTGCACATAACAACTGAGAGTAAGAGCACTACAAGCTTTTGCTAAATGGGGCCGGGTCAGCACACGTTGTATTCGTGTAACTGCGGCTATCCAGTAACTATCTATGCTAAGGAAAACTTTAAGGGATCCTAGGGGCAGTGAAAGTGTAAAGTGAGAACTCCAAATATTAATTGAGAGAAAATGTAATAAGTTGAATAATTAATGATTGATGCATGTATTTGAATGTGTTAGGTAATGTGAATAAAGGCTTATCCTTACATAAACTTTCAGGAAACTAGGATGATAGAACCCAAAGATAGCATTAGGCTTATAGATAGCTCTGTACATTGTATGCTTGGTTTTCTCGCTTAGGTGAGGGTGAGCTTTTCCAAGCGAGAGCATATCTCGCTCAAGCGAGGGTTAGCTCACTTAAGCAAGAGCGCGCAGGCTAGAAGGGTATTTAAAGGGCCTCAGCGCCCAAAAACTTCATTTTCTCACCAGGCAACTTTTCTCTCTCCTATTACCCATAGATAAAATCTTCTCGAAGCCGAATTTCTTCTCGATTAAAGTGAGATCTTTTAACTTAGCAAGATCTAAGTGAGTTTTTGGAGCTCAATTTTTCAATTTTTACTTGTCTCTTTTCTCTTTTCCTAAATGGACTTAAATCGTGTTGTTCTGAGTAGATCAGAGCCATTCAAGTCGTATTTCAAACCCAAACGATTGATATATCTCTGCGGGACTCATTAGGA